ACTTCGTAAAATCCTACGCAGAGCGAAACGTTGTTACAGTAAATGTTTTTAGCGCTACGTTTTTCTTCAAATCCATTGGGCATGTGTCAGATTCAGGTGAACGAACCTTGTCCAGAAAGATTCATCTTGTTACTTAGGAATCTGATGAACAGAATCAAACTATATTCGAGCTATCCCTAATTTTTTGTAGATAGATGAGGTCGGGCTAGCATAGAGGAACTGTCTCTCCCTGCCCTCTAGGCGCAATAATAACAGCAGGTATGTTGGCCTTGTACATAACAGCAAGCCACTGATATCTTTCTGGAGTTGATGGCTCAGCTGATATTAGATTCTCTCTCTCTCTGTATCTCTCTCTCTCTCTCTCTCTCTCTCTCTCTCTCTCTCTCTCTCTCTCTCTCTCTCTCTCTCTCTCTCTCTCTCTCTCTTTCTATCTCTCTCTTTGAATCTCTCTCTCCCACCTGGTCAATACCTTACGGGCGCTAAATTCTGGCACTTCATTTTGTCCCAGAAAGCATTACTGAGATAAAATTAAATTTCCTTCCTGTTAGAGTGACTAGAAGAAGCCGAAAAAGTCACTTGGGACAAAAACTTCCATTAAAAACACAGTTTCATGCCTGCAGATGAAGATGTGAAGAGATTCCTGGGTGAAGAATGTTGATGGAAGAAAGGAAAGAAAAGTGTGTGTGTGTGTGTATGTGTGTGTGTGTGGATGGGTGGGTGTTTGGAAGAAATCACAATAAAAAGCGTGATTGCAAATATGAAAAAAATTCCACTGTGAAAATTGAAAATAAAACCTGGCTCAGGTTTTATTTCCTGCTTCATTGTGGTATTTTTTCATATATATGTATGTATACATATGTATGTATATATATTTCTTCTTAAGCATTCTTCACTGGTTGTGTGCAAGTGACATACATCCATAATGATCCTCGTGTAGTTAATACGCCTGTAAGTTACTAATTCAACTAACCAAGCGTGGTAGAGAGATCTTGTTAAATTGTAAGCTCTTATCGCTATACACGTACATAGATATTTGTATCGTCTTTGCAATATAATGTGTTAATGCTGACATCATTGCAAATGCATGCATTTTAATATCTCTGATAACGTGTTTCTCTCATATCTGACTCTTCAAGGTGGTTAACCTTGATGGTAATAAGGGGCTATTAATCCATGGAATTGAAGCTCCCTTCCCTTTCTTCGGATCAAACCTGATTACATCACACTACTCAAGAGCTCTGTAAGGGCTCTAATGCTTCACCAATATATAAATAATTATCGCTCTGACTGGGCTGGTTTGATATCACGCCTCTCTTACCATAATTCATGTTCCCCTTTATCATAATTTTATTATCTCGCGTTTGTGCTATTTTTCACATCTTTATCACCTTTCATTTATGCTGTTTTCACGCCTCTATCACCTCTTATCTACTTTATTTTCAAAACTCTATCATCTATCATTTATACTATCATTACATCTCGATCACCTCTCATTTATGTTATTGTTATACCTCTGTCACATCATTTACTTTACTATCTCAGATTCCCTTGATAAATGTATTTTCAACACTTTAATAAAGTCCTGTGTTGGGACTAAGTTAACTCTGATCCTAACGAGAAATGTACCTAACTTCGTAACCAACTCCGTTAATGTCTTTTGTTAGGGTGAAGGCTACGTTGATCCTAGGCAAAGATCAGCTCCTACCTTCATTACCTGCCATAGTAATACCTTTAGTTAGAGCTAAAGCTACTGTGATCCTTCGTTACTAGCAACGTTAATGCTATTTCCTAGAGCGAAGGCTTTGTTGGTCACAGACCAGGCCTTTTCCTACGAGGTCTACTAGAACGAGGCCTACTCCTACTAAGCCTATTCCTACTTTCGTTTATATTTCCCAGTCAACGGAACTCTCATAATTACACTCTTAGTCTCTTTTCCTTCCCTGGTACCCTCCATACACGCCGTCATTTCACCCCTCCCCACTCCAACCCTCCGATTCCCTCCCTCTCCATCCTTTCCCTACCTCCCTTATTCTTCCCTTATCGTTTCCGCCCCAAGTCTAGACAGCCGTTCCTTCCCAGACTTTTTCCTCTCACTTAGGCCTGATTACGTCATGTAGTTTCTCATCTTCTTACCCCTACCTTGCGGTCCTTCTCCCTTCCTTCCCTCTCTTCAACATCACCCTTTTTTTTTCTTACTCCACATCGTCGTCGATTCCTTCTCTTTCCCCCTATTCTTTGAATAGCATCATCAGTTCGTTTTCATTTTTTCCCTATACATTATCACCCATTCTTACCCCTTTCCTCTTCTCCCATCATCACCCGTTCATTCTCTCTCTGCTACTCTTCCTTTATCACCCATTCTTTCTTACATCCTACTACCTTAATAACACCACCCATTTCAATAGCCTCATCACCGATCAACATCAACCATACTTTTTCTTTCCCTCCCCTCCCATCATTACCCATTCATTCTCTTCCCCTCCCCACTCATCACCCATTCCTTCACTTTACTCCCCTAGCATCACACATCCCTTCTATTTTCTCCCCACCCATCATCACCCATTATTCACCATCCATCCTCACCCATCACCATCACCATCCTACAAAACACCCATAACTCAGCCTTCCAACACGTGTCAAAGGTTTTCACTCACGTTCCAGCCTCCCACCCGACACTTTTTTTTTCCACTTTCGCATTTTTTAGGCAGTGGAAAATTCCCACTTGTTGACTCATGGGACAGTGAGAGGAAGTAGAGAAACCTCTTAGAGGAGTGATGGACTCACACGTGTGATGTAAATGGCTTACAAAGCAATTAAGTTGAAGATTGAGAGACTTGTGGAGCTAGTGGCTTCTTTAGTCTAATACAGAGAGGAACAGTGGAAGATGAGGAAGGTTTGGGGTTATTAGTCCCTCAATCTGGAGTTGATTCGTTCAGCCTATCAGTGTTAAGATATGGACTGAACACATCGACTCCAGATTGAAGGACCGATTACCTCAAACATCTCATCTTCCACCGTTTTTCTCCATATTAGACTGAAGAAGGCACTGGCTGGCCAAACGTTTCAACAACAAAAATTCCCAAATGTTGCACAAGTGTCTCATTCTTTGGGCTCACACTTGTTCCTCGTTGATGGACTTAACTCCTGATCCTTGACTCACACTTCTCCCTCACTGTTGGACATATACATGTCTACTGAAGCGGTGATCCTCACACTAACTCACACTATGAGCACTAAACGGTGTATTATCCGCTTCATTTCTCAGTTCACTAAAACTCTTCTCCACTTAAAAGTAAACCAAGGAAGAAAAATCACTCTCGAAAACACATGAACAAACTGAACAACTGATACATGTAATCTAAGAAAATTAAACAAAAACTTTTGAGGTTAATACAATTAGCCCAACCGAAAACTTGTGCGTAATCACACTTTCCTCGTGTGGCTGAGAACTTATCAAAGAAATGGTAAACACACTACACGAACTTCTTATAGAAATATTCTGGAGCTTCTCTAGGCGTCCGTCGCCACGTTGGATGTTTGTCTTGTACGATGTTCATGAATGTTTGAGGGCCAGGTTGAGGAGTGTTTGTTACCGTTGTATAACGGCTTGGTTGAAGACCATTTCGTTGCTGTTGTTTGCAACTAAGCTGAAGACTAGTTCATAGCGATAGACTGAGCAGATGTAAAGTTGCTTAATGCTGATTAAGGATTGTTGCAGGTCACTCCTGAACGAAACGTAGTCTTTATTATGTCCGTGGTGTGTATTTCGTGACTTTATACTCAGATGAGGGCTAGCTGAGAGGGTTCTCAGGGCTATTAAGATGAGTGGTTCTTTATTTGCAATATTTACTGTCTTAAATGTTCATTTCAATGCACTTTAACCCGTGCTAAAGTCTCCTAGTCAGATTGCAAGCTTTACCATGAATGAAAGATTTATATAATAATACATACAAGCTATCAGAAAAAAATATTTAAGTTAGGTTTACGAACCTTTCCAGCTGTATACACTTATGCTCAGGTCACACGCGCGCGCGCGCACACACACACACACACAACACCACACACACACACACACACACACACACACACACAACACACACACACACACACACACACACACACACACACACACAGGAACTTCGTATCAATCTCTGAGTCTTGTAGGAATACAAGAACACTCTTAACTTACCCTGGTCGGCTGCCAGGCAGGCATCAGCACAAGTCATTCCAGGAACATGGCGTGGATGCAAGTGGCGCCCTTCAACAGAGAGTGTTTCTTAATCTGGCTCTTGATTCCTCTTCTTATTTTTCCCTATCTCCCAGGCTTTGTATGACCCCAAAGGGTTCAGCGTTTCACATGAATATTATATTAATACAAGTGGTGTGCTGCAGTTAAGGGTATACATGCATAAGGCCAGGAAAAATGTTTTTGAGCATACCAATGCCTCTCTGAAAATAGAATTATTTTTTGTTGTAACTTTCAACAATGGGCGTGTTCACACCACTATTGATTCAAGGACCTGGAAGCTGCCTGTTGATGGAGGGACCTGGAAGCTGCCTGTTGATGGAGGTACCTGTAGGCTGCCTGTTGATGGAGGGACCTGTAGGCTACCTGTTGATGGAGGGACCTGTAGGCTGCCTGTTGATTTAGGGACCTGTAGGCTGCCTGTTGATGGAGGGTCCTGTAGGCTGCCTGTTGATGGAGGGACCTGTAGGCTGCCTGTTGATGGAGGGACCTGTAGGCTGCCTGTTGATGGAGGGACCTGTAGGCGCCGTGAGAGGGCCTGTTGGGGCCTGTTGATGGAGGGGCCTGTAGGCTGCTGTTGATGGAGGGACCTGTAGGCTGCCCCGTTGATGGGAGGTCCTTAGCTGCCTGTTAAGGGGGACCTGTAGGCTGCCTGTTGATGGAGGGACCTGTAGCTGCCTGTTGATGGAGGGACCTGTAGGCTGCCTGTTGAGGAGGGACCTGTGCTGCTGTTGATGGAGGACCTGTAGGCTACCTGTTGATGGAGGGACTGTCGCTGCCTGTTGATGGAGGGACCTGTAGGCTGCCTGTTGATGGAGGGACCTGTAGGCTGCCTGTTGATGGAGGGACCTGTAGGCTGCCTGTTGATGGAGGGACCTGTAGGCTGCCTGTTGATGGAGGGTCCTGTAGGCTGCCTGTTGATGGAGGGTCCTGTAGGTTGCCTGTTGATGGAGGGACCTGTAGGCTGCCTGTTGATGGAGGGACCTGTAGGCTGCCTGTTGATGGAGGGGCCTGTAGGCTGCCTGTTGATGGAGGGACCTGTAGCTGCCTGTTGATGGAGGGTCTGTAGGCTGCCTGTTGATGGAGGGACCTGTAGGCTGCCTGTTGATGGAGGGACCTGTAGGCTGCCTGTTGATGGAGGGACCTGTAGGCTGCCTGTTGATGGAGGGACCTGTAGGCTACCTGTTGATGGAGGGACCTGTAGGCTGCCTGTTGATGGAGGGTCCTGTAGGCTACCTGCTGATGGAGGGACCTGTAGGCTACCTGCTGATGGAGGGACCTGTAGGCTACCTGCTGATGGAGGGAACTGTAGGCTACATGCTGATGGAGGGACCCGGTAGCTTTATGGTGATGGAGAGGCTTCTTGATAATGGTTA